GTTTTCCAGCTCACGGTTGGGTACAAAAGTTAGGAACTACAGGTATCATCTATTGCTATAAATATGGAAATCATTTTCTAAAGAAACACTTTATTACTCTCCGCTACGGAGCTTACCTGAGTCAGTTGGAAGAAAGAACACTGCCATACTCAGAAACGTCATCAGCACAGTAGGAATAATCAACACAGTAGTGTAGAACAGAGTTTTTCTCCTAAACAGTGAAAGGTGCTGGTCCAAAACAGACTCGACCCGTAGCACTTTAAGGTTAATTTCGAGCCGTTTATTCAACTATCCAGTGAATGCTCTGCTAGTGGGCGCTGTGCCGCGGTCAGAGAGTAACGCCCCGGTGGCAATATTCGAGGCGCGACACCAGCTCGCGCCCCTCTCCCAGCTAGATAACTCATCCCCATCAGATGACTTTGTCCATGGCAGCCTACGTCCCACGGCCAATGTTATCCACAGTTGCGACTGCGTGCGGTTGCTAGATACTACCACAATTTCAGGCTCAGTTTTATAACCCTATAAAAGATAACGTGAAGTATACACAGTCTCCCTGAATATTCGACGAGCTATGTCATAAATATGAATAGATTCAGGCGTACGGTCTACTCGGCCACTAGGCGTGGGGTATACAACTACACACGCTCTCATCCGCGGAAAACAGTTACTCCGTGGGGCGCAAGTTGTCACTAGCCAATTCAACTAAGTCAGCCAACTAGGATAAGCTAATTTACTCGTCACATGAAGTAGGCGGCGCTGTTTATCGACATTTTGTATTGCAACCTTGTGAAGCTGGAGCAAGATCGTCTAGCCACCATCCTAAAACGTGTCAACTCGAAAAAAGGGTACCTAGATGGGTTGGCAAATCTATGAAAAGCAGAATGCCCCCCCCCCGTCGATAAACAGCGCCGAAGTAGGCTTTAAATGTAGTTAACTACACCTTTTGACAGCAAGGGACCAGGAAATCATGCATTGCGCCAGACCACGTCTTTTTTACACAAATTCTTCGTCTTATATGTTGACGTAGGATGCGGTGAAACTCCGATACTGAGCGTTGAGAGTGTCCAAGTGCGACTGTCGATAAATCTTGGCATGTTCCTCAACTCCCGAAACGTCAGCCGAATAAAGACTCAATCTTGGCGTCGGGTAATCATCTGCTGACAGTACTGACGTTGAAATTTTCGCGTAGGCCTTGGGGGAAGGATCTTCGGAACAGCCATTCTGCAGAAAGAGTAATGGCATTCTCATTTTGGGAGGTGTACCGGCATTCCCCAATAGGCAACAGGCTAGACTGCGTACCCAGTACTGGATCAGCGTACAAAAAATACACCCTGAATAGCAGCTTTGTTTGTAGGTGAATGATGATAGATAGAAAATTAACTCTAATAAAGCAAGAAAAGCAGTTTTCCCCGAAAAACGACAGATATTCTCGGAGGTGGGCGGTTGCGACCAACATCATTAGTGGAAGGACTGCGAAGAGGCATTTGGCCACACAGAAAATTCACTTCAAAAAAGCAAGAAAAGCAGTTTTCTCCGAAAAACGACAGATATTCTTGGAGGTGGGCGGTTGCGACCAACATCATTGGTGGAAGGACTGCGAAGAGGCATTTGGCCACACAGAAAATTCACTTCAAAGAGTTTTAGACTGTTTTGAAAACAGTCTAAAACTTGTAAAAAGCCTTCAGCCTTGCGGTTCACTGCCGATATCGGCTAACCGGCTCATCACGTTGAACGTGTGAGTGCTCGAAGGCAATGGCACAAATAGCCATTGAGCTGAGAGGTCAAAAGTGGCCCCGGTAGCGTAAGTGGTAACGCAACTGCCCGGTAAGCAGAAGATGCGGGTTCGAGTCCCGCCCGTGGTCCGACTTTTGCCCACAACTCAGCATTCTTGTGATAACTTTCGTATCGCGCACTGCGGCGTAAAACAGCAGTTATCAAACAAAAACAGGCAAGAAAAGCAGTTTTCTCCGAAAAACGACAGATATTCTTGGAGGTGGGCGGTTGCGACCAACATCATTGGTGGAAGGACTGCGAAGGAGGCATTTGGCCACACTCTCCCTCAGCCGATGTTGGGGAACGGTTAGGACTCCACGAGAGGTCAGCCTGCCGCCGCCGCGGAGGTGCTCTCCGCGATGCTTTCGCTATGTATTTTTTGCATTTGCATAGTTCATGAGATTTCCAACCGTCTGCTTTATACTTGCAGGTGTGAAGGCTATGAAAGGAATGGGCCCGATATTCAACTACTAGTATAAAACAACGCCCATTAACATAGAAATAATATTTAGAGAATACATCAGCAATCTACGAAAATTCTTTTCAGGGTGAATCCTTCTTTTGGCCTCAATTGTAAGATATTGTAAGGTTTAAGATTCTCGGCCAGACGGTGAAAGTAGGTCCTATTGAAGAAATACAGCAACCCGTCGAATAAGTACAGCTGCCATTCAAAAATACTGTCGGCCCATTGAATATTCTGGTTTGGAAAAATCCCAAGCAGGTTCGCGTGATGCCAGAACTATGTGAAGGGACGGGATCTTAATCGCACGACCATGTTGCTCTCGTAAAATCAGTTGCAATCGCCGCGCGCGGCGAGGCGGGACATGGCAGCCGTGACCTCTCGTGGAGTCCTAACCTACACCCGCCGATGTTCGTTCGTTCCTCCACCAACGTCGTTATTGACAAGCGCCCTACTCAGCAATCATGCCCTCTGCCTTCGAACTGATGGTTTACTTCATATCACATGGAACGAGAAAATTCCCCAAAGTCTTTAGAACTCAAGGAATAAAGGTTGTCGAGGTTGTCTATATATCTTACCACTTGCCACCTATTCATTTTTCGTTTTGAGTCTGACTTATTGACAAAAATAATCTACTTAACAACAAAAGGAACAACTAAACGCTGGGAGTTCATCCGGCAACCTAGTCAATTAGTTTTAACTATACTATAAATCTGAATGGTAATTAGGAGGAGTCTCAAAAAGGTTGAAATGATTTACAACTTTTTGAGACACCACCTAGTTATCAGTCAGATTGTTGAAATCAGCTCTTGCAATCATATCTTCCAACCTGATTCTGACTTGAAATTCTATTCGACTTCGCTTGTTCACCAATGACGCAGGAGCGTCCATGACATCCCATATGGAAGAAGGCGCATATTCAGACAGATCCACCCACTCAGCTTGTTCGAACTCAAGTTTAATCTCGTTCTCGTTGTACTAGATCAGTGCTGATCGAGCCTTCCAGTAATCGAGAACAACTAATCATACAGAATGTACTCACCGTCCAGGATCCAAATACTAACGTGCACACCTGCTCATCAAATGGGAAGTACTCTACGTCTAAAATACAATAGTACGGTCAGGCAACATTTCTGATGAACCTTATATTCGTTTTAAGCAAGGTATGGTTTATAAGGTGTTCGCTGCGGACACTGGGACTTTTCGGAGGGAGTTGGCTGGGTATGGCGCCCTCCACCACTGGATGGAGAAGGCAAACAACAGAACGACGAGTGATAGAAAATGGGCTGCGCTGTGGCGAATCCAGCCCTCTGAAACGCCCCGGCGTCCGCGGCACCAAACCATTGTCTAAACCACTGGATTGCACTACCCTTAGGAAGTTTTGATTATTATTTGTGAATCATTAAAGGATTACAAACCGATGATACACGAGCTTTTGTAAATTGCTGGCGGTACCCATAGCATGTCACCATCACAGTTTATGACAACATTACACATGAAAGACACTTCATAGTTACCATCGGCGCTTAAACAGAGACTAATTTAGAACATCGCAGGTGAAAAGTGCTCAACATAAGAATTCTTTCTTCGGTGCTGGAGAGAATAATGTTATCCGTATCCTGTATATTGGGAGGGCGTGGTTGCGTGCCTCATAAGGAGATGCTTCTGATTGGATCTTTCAATTGTAACAACAGCTATCCTGTTTTGTAATAAGAAAGTTTTCGCAGCCCAAGCAACCGCTGCTACGGTATTCCGCGGGCACAATTTGAAGCCTTCGTAATTGCCATGTTGTACCACCTTGGGCACTGGCAGTATGATCCAGGTTTCCACCCATTTACTCATCTGCATGGATTTTATCCTTTTCTATGCTACGATTTTTGGTTTTCGGTTCACTTACGTTTGAAGGGACGTTCCAAGGTGCAGCAATCCGTTTTATATGGATGCTAGAGGTCTACGACAGCTGAGACATTCATGGCTCAAAAAAGCTTTGCAGACTTACGACAAAGTGTCTTCGTTGGGGCGCAGACGCCCCCTCCTCCCCCTACCGCAAATGTCGCACTAGTACAAGCCGTTCGGTGACCTGCCTACTTTCTCGCCTTGGCACTATTTACCCTTTACTGCCCCAATCTTCCGAAAACAGGCCAGCTTTTGACCGACTTTTTTCTGCCTGAGGCAGAATTGGCTGAATCTTGTTTCCTGGGGTAGTTTGACCTCCTGAACATGAATATCACATCTGCTCGGCCTGAAACCTCCTGCCGCCCGCGCTACAGGTGCTGGCGCCAAAATACCTCAGATCACCGGCGCCTGTGGCGCGGGCGCCAGGAGGTTTCGGGCTAAGCGAATGTCATATTCGTATGGAGGTCAAAATACCCCAGGAGACAACATTTGAGCCAAATCTGTCCACGGAGAAAAAAGTCGGTCAGAAACTGGCTCAATTCTGGATGGTTGGGGCAGTAAAGGGTAAATAGTGCACTTGCCTTCGCTGTCCGATCTCGCGTTCCGCGCTCAGTATTTCTTCGCTGCATGAGTACTGCTCAAAATCAGCTGCAATGGCAGGGATATTACTTTTAGCAACCTTGGCACCTTGCTAATTCAGCCACCAGTTTGGTCCTAGAACACTTTCCAGCCGATGCACCTACTCCAAGGTTACCGGTAAAACGTGTTGACGACGCATCTTGGAAAAGAGGAGAGCGCGTTGCTGTGGTTCTTGGGAGCTCGCGGACAGAATATCGTCCTGGAGTTTGCGAAAAGTAGAAGTGTGATAGGTGATGAATAGCATACTTTATCTGACAAGGACGATATCACGGTACCCAGACTTTACCGGTTGGTAACTCTTATCTCTTTAATCTCACCATAATTTACCGGATTCCATCGCATTTGAAAATCGTGCCACTTCTGTAGAAACAATGAATAAATCTGTGAGCAAGGAAGCAAATTGAAAACTCTCGCGAAGTTCACGGTAGATGACTTACCAGCGTTAACCACACATTTGTATGCATCACTTGGTTCTTTTCATCCTGCAACGAACTTTCTCAGCCAAATCGATGACTTTTTTCCTGGTTTCTGCATACGGTAAGGAGTTAGGGCTGTCCTACCGTAGGGGGGAAATTTGGTATTTTACGACTCCTTTTCCACCGGCAACCGAATAGTGCCGTATTGGCTGGTGAACCCAGTCATTGAAAGTGCTCTGAATATTGTCCTCATAGAACCCTCATTCTTCTCCAATGATCAACTCTTCATCCCCTTGTTATGAGGGAAATCACAACTCGAAGGCGTCCCCAGGAAACGGAAAAGACGAGAGATTGAGGAAGATGGACAAGCACTCACTACGTTTATAAGTAAGACAAGCTGCAATGCGACCTTCACGATGATTGGCATTCGTCGCTGGGCATTTCCTGGTGGGCATGCAAGGTTGAAAAATCCATGTACTTGTCGATATTGATCGGAAATTCGATAGAAACTCACTTGAATAAGTGAATTATATCCCCGGAATACGTCCATCATGAGGCGTTCCTCATCATCAGATGCGAACACTGAATCAAGTAGTAGCTCCCAGAGACCAGAGTTTGTTGACTTTTTTAGAATGATGTGAAAGCCTAGGACTTTGGGAACAAGTGAAGCAGTTTCTGAAGGTACTTTTGAGTAAGGATAACTCATAGGGTGTCACCCTGCTTCCTATTCTCACAATTAGCCATCGTTAGCCAGAATTAATGCGAAGTCTTGAGCAAATTCTTGAGTAGCTTCACCACAGTATTCGCTGGAAACATGCCAGCTCAAACAGCTCGAACCAGTTTGCAAAAATTTTTACGAAAAATTTCAAAGAATTCGTTGCTTCGTGGAGACCTTTGCTTAACAAAAACCCGCGATAAAGTCCCCCTTCCATGCTTCCCCTCGGCACATGACCAGCCACTTTACAGCCTACGCCACCTTACCGAACCAGAATCCCAAATTGCTCAGGCAGGGCGTGGAGAAGGACAACCTTTTAGCCGTAGCTTCGTCGCCACCTATGTAGGTTTCGGGTGGAGAATGGAATTGCGCCACATTGGCAATTCCATTCTCCACCCGAAACTTTCCCCAACGTGAGCCGTTTTGTGCGCGCAGATTCCGGCTCAGCTGCAACCTACATGAACTACGCAGCACCAGAGGCAGCATAATAGGCAAGTGAGTCGGGCTACGTGTTCTCACACATCTTTGTTCTCTTCCGAAGTACCTTGATTTCAGGCGCTTTGGGCCTTTCTAGAATGCCTGTTGGCCTGAACCCAAAATGTTGTCCCTCTCCACACCCTGCTTGACGGACGAATTGGGGATCTGAGAAGGTTGGGTAAGATGGCGAGTAGGTTGCAAAATGGGGCCCATGCCGAGGGGAGATAGAGTGAGGGTGAGGGAAAAGTGGGTCGTTGGTATGTTCCTGGCTAAGATGCTGTAGTCCACCCTAATGAAATACCCCCAAGCCAGATAATTGAGGAGGTTCAGTTCAGGTGACCTGCTTATATTCCATCTTCTTCAGGTACTCAACGCCCTTCCATTCCAAAAGGGCGAGAGTTTTTCCAACGCCCTTCGATTCCATGTGGTGGCACCAATGCTGTAGCAGTACAAAGTTTCCAAGAAGGTACGGGCGACGACATGTGAGGAGGATATTCTTCTCGAGTTGCTCGATGTAACCGCCAGCGCTCACCTTCAGTCCGGT